TGCCGCTCGTCCATCCACCAGGGCCGGAACGTCCCCTGCCCCATGCGCGGCTGCGGCAAGTCCTTTGTCTCCAACGCCGGCCTCCTCCACCACCTCGAGTCTGGCGGCTGCGTCTCGCGCATGAACCGCGCCATGATCGACCGGATCATGCAGAAAGTCGACCGGAACAACATCATCACGAACCCGGGGCGCCTCCTTGGAGGCGGCGAGACCGTCGTGGACATGTGGGCGACCGAGCGCGCGTGGAACGGGTCGCGCTACGAGTGCTACCTATGTCACCGCACGTACGCGACGCTCGACGCGCTCAACCAGCACCTCCGGAGCCCCGCGCACGCAGAGAAGATCTACCGCTGCCCGCGCGCGCTGTACGGGTGCGGCGCGGAGTTCGGTACCCTCAGCGCGTTCTGCCAGCACCTCGAGAGCGAGTGTTGCGGAGTGCGTAGGTTCCGCGGCGAGGTCGACAAGGTGCTCGAAGGGCTGTCGACGAAGATGAAGCGGTTGACGATGGGGTAGGCCACAGGTGCGCCCCAGCTGGATGGTTGCGCCGCGAAGCTCCGCACGCTCAGCGCACTCCGTCAGCACGTCGACAGACACCAGTGCAGCCTGTTTGGATGTGGTCGACTCGGGGTCTGCAAGGTGACTGCGGTCCTTTAGCAGGTGAGGAAGTAAGCGGTATAAGGTCGAAGGGTACTCATCTTAAAGAGCGAGATGACCCTCGGAGAACGGGTAGATGCAGTGCTTGTTCCTGGTACACCTCCGAAGGCCCGGTGCCCAGAGTAGTGTTCGGCATCCTGTTACCTTTGTACGATACGATGAATGAACACGCGAGGTACTGGATACCTTCGATACACAAGCTTTTTTGATCTCCGACACGGACAAGTACTGGCTCAATGGAATGTCGGCAAGGTACAAAAGAGCTACCTCCCAGAATACATGACGCGTTGCAGAGCGTAAAACGAATATTTTCATGATGTCCACGGCGGAAACGGGACAATTCCAACTACACGTGAGTCACCTCTCTATACAACCGTACCTTCATCACCGATACAGGCGTGCTCCCATTTGTGACTCGAGTCATGGCCTCATGGCGTAACGGGCATCGCCGAAACCGCATATCATGCCGCGCTCTCCTGATGGGAGGCCATGCGAATGTAGGGTATTGGTAGAAAAGGACATACCACGGCTTCTAGCCATGTTCCCGTCAGGTGGGGCTCCCGGTTGTTCAGCGAGGAAGGGATGTGCGAGTGCCTTCGCGGCTGACATACGCACTTCAGGCTCTCGGCGCAGCAGGTTTTGTAGGAGGTCGAGTGCTGCATGCGGAGAGATGAGCAAGAAATTATGAGCCGCACAATGCTGCACTGCTTGGTAGCCGACGTACCCTCATGCCCCCATCTTCCCTTATACGGCCGCTCGTGAGCAAGGAAGTTCATTACGAGTCCCTCGAGGATGGGTAGGCGGCTCTGGAAGAACTCTCCCAGAGACTTGTCGGTCTTGAAATCTTGGAACAGCGGGCGGTCGATGATCATCTCTACGAGGATACAGCCGCAGGACCATGTATCGATCGCCGTGCTGTACTTTGAGTCTATCCCTTGAAGCTCAGACGCACGTAGTAGCTCGGGAGCCCGGTACCACAACGTCGCGACCTGGGCGAGCGCACATTAGGTGTCAGACCGTGCGGATGAACGACGTCCCCAGGTATACGTGCAGGCTCACCTTCGTTGATAGCTTCATCCCTGCGTAGCCAATCTGCCGTGCCAAGCCAAAGTCCCCAATCTTGAGGACGCCGTGGCTGTCGAGCAGCAGGTTCTCGGGCTTCAAGTCGCGGTGAACGATGCGTTGCGCGTGGCAGAACGCGACACCCCGCAACAAGTCCCGCGCGAGGCGCTGCGTCTGCAACAAATTTCTGCCCAGCGGCCGTCCCTCGGGCTGCTTCCGGCACTCGTTCATGTACCGGCGCAGGTCCGTGGGGCAGAGCTCGAGCACCAGTATGGCGCCAATCTCGTATACGTCAAACTCGATTAGCCGCAGGATGTTTGAGTTGCGATCGCCATGGTGTCGGTCGCAGAGTGTCTTGAGAGCGAGGATCTCGGCCATCACTGTGTGGGGGATCCCTTCGGGCGCTGGCAACACGCTCGAGTCATCTCCTGGCCTTCTGTGGTCGGTGGGATCCTCAGATTCAGACTCTGGGGTATGCTTCATGTACTTGTAGGCCACTCTTTCTCCCGTGTAACGATTGATAGCCTGTTGATGGAAAACGCGTCGGTGGCGTGCCAGGCGTAGAAAGCGACCCAAGGTGTATAGACATATACCTTGAAGACTGTCGCAAACGTTCCCTTTCCTGCGCCAGCGGCCGACGGTGAGCATATCAGCACTTCCATACGGTTCCACAAACGACACACCCAGTTCCATTTCCTAGCACGTCTGTTCAGCAACAAGTACGGACGTCGTTCGTGTACGCCACATACCAATGTATACTTGTCTTCAAGCTTAGACCTAATCGTAGAGCCCCGGGTAGGCGTGTCACCCGCTGGCAGACCAAGACCAATGCAGAAAGACATAGCAGCTGTGTATGGTCACTAGATAGCAGTGAGAGGCGGGTAGTGTTGAAAGTTCAAGAGATCCTTGCGGTGGCGTCGGCGCTCTCTATTTATCAGTGCTCCTATACAGCTCGCCGGATATCCGCCACGGCAACTGTTCTATTGTTCTACTCACCTGATCAGGACGGTTGCGGCTCACGGTTGGTTGGATACAAGGAGAGGTAGAATAAACCCCATCCACAATTAGCGTCCTACTATTCGTCGTGCCGTAATCTCGTTAGCGCCGGGGTGGCGTCGCGCCCAGCGCAACCGCCGCGGTGGATGATCCTATGACCTTTGAGCATGAGTATATTGTTTCAAGGGATTTAGAATAGCTGAAGAGCTGGAATCCAAGCGGTGTAGATGGAAGCCATGAACTTGAGGTCCGGCCGCGCTTCACACCGATAGGAATGACGCAGATGGCTGATGACCCCGAGAATACTGACCTTGTGGCGCACGAGAACGGGCTGGGGCACAAGAAGTGATATCAGTGAGTTCAGACTATGAGGAGAGCAAACGGTGGGAGGTGGATTCGAGGCGCGCACAATGAAAATGTGACTTGATGCGGCGGGTCTTCAAGTCTCGATGGACCTCCGAGGGACTAACGACGGCAACCTGAGGGTTGTATGACACGAGTCGGGAGCAATCCAACTCGCCTCCTACATCACATCACAGGCCAAAGATAGAGGATGCATCGCTACTTGTATCATATTCTACAATTGAGACGTACTGTGATGTCCGTCAGGGCCGTCACTTGAAGGTCATCGCGGCCAACCCAAGCGACAACGCCTCTAGAGTGTCCCCCTGGGCCGGACCTCGCTGGGAGGCCGTAGACTGTTGAGCAACAAAAGGATGGGTCAGCGCTTTCGCTGCAGTGGGGCGACCCTTGCCTTCCCTGTGAAGCAAAGCCAGGAAAAGGTCGTACGCTGAGCGCGCAAACCAGAAGCGTCAACGCCGACAGTACAACGCAACGCAACGAGCACGGACATACCTTGCCGCCCGCAATAGTTCTGGAACTGTGGCCGGTACTTTCTGAGGAAGTTCGTGATGCTGCCGAGAGCAGGGAGGCCGGTTTCGAAGAAGTCTCGCAACGTCTGCTCATTGAACCCGGAGAAAAGAGGCGCGCCGAACATCAACTCCGCGAGTATACATCCGCACGACCATAGGTCGATGGATGCGTCATAGTGTGCGAAGTCTCCCTTGGTGCAAATCACCTCGGGGGCCCGGTACCACAGCGTGACAACCTGAAGAACAGACGGCAGGTAGCGCATGAGTAATCGGCCTGTATGCCCATGCGCATATGGACTCACATCCTTAGACAAGTGTTCCGCGTCCTTGTCATACCCGATTCTCCGCGCCAAGCCGAAGTCTGCGATCTTCAGAGTTTTGTGGCTGTCGAGCAGCAGGTTCTCCGGCTTCAGATCGCGGTGGAGGATCCCCTTCTCGTGACAGAACGCGACGCCTTGGAAGAGCTCGCGCATGAACCGCTGTATAGTCGACACGTCCTTGCACAGCGGCCGGGCCTCGGCACGGCGCTTTTTCATGTACACGAGCAGGTCCTGCGGGCAGAGCTCCAGCACAAACGCAGCCCCAGTCTCGTACACGTCGCAGTCCAAGAGCTGAACGATGTTCGCGTGGCCGACGAGCTCTTTCATGAGGTAGATCTCGCGCATGACCGTGTATGTGAGGCCGTCTTCAGGGTTGAGATTCATGACCTTCATGGCTACGACACGCTTGGTCTCCCTGTTTTCGGCCTAGTGGCTATGACTTCAGAAGATCTGTGCATGCACGTGTAGGTAGCACGCGTTACCTTGTATACGATTGAATATGTGCCACGTCCTGAATTGAAACATGGTCAATCTCGTCACCGAGGACGTCGAGCCCGGTACCAGGAAGGTCCGTACCAAGCTCTTCTTGCTAAAGGAGAGCCGTTCAGCCATCACAACAGTGCACCAGGGGGCAACGAACGGCGTACCTGTTTGTACTTCACGAGTAACTTGGACTGCGGGTGCGGTGCGTGGTTCGCCAAAAGCCCCCTAGCTTGCAAGCCGGAATCCATGCTTCCTGCGCGGTGTAAAGAAGGTGTGGAAACGAGTTCAAGCATGGGCTCCAGAGCCACACACTTTTATACGTGGCCCCAGCCTGACTGCAAATGTTGGTACCATTGTCTCGCTTGGACCGGGTTGGCTATGCCGATATCTGTTGGCTCAGGGCGAGCAAAGCGGATAATTCAGGGCATTTTGTCCTTCACTTGTATGGTATCGGCTCTGTCCCCAGAATGTCACGCTTTCCGGAGCTATGGGGTAGACTGTAGAGATAATGAGCGTGTGTGGTATATATCAGCATGCCCGATTCCACTCGATCCTCAATCCGCAGAAGGAGCTATAAATTATATGTATATGTTTAGCGTAACAGGCTCCTATGTGCCCCGTGGCTGAGTTGGTTACAGCGTCCGACTGTTACTTCCTCTTAGTAGTAAATCGGAAGGTCGTGAGTTCGAGCCTCACCGGGGCAGTGTTTTTCATTGTAGCTTCTGCGAAAGACCTTCCCGATCAAAGCAATATCCTAGTTTCATGACAAGACACGCCACATCCATTTTTGACCATCTTGACTAGACTCGCATTGTGAAAGTAGTAGACCCAATACATGTACACGTTCATCACTGTCATGAAATACCGCCTGCGGCTCTCATACCGCGCCCGCCTTGCCGACCGACACACCCAAGTCACGCATGCGGCCTGTCTCCAGCTCGTACACCCACCCATGCACCTGCACGTCCTTGCCCTTCGCCCACGCGGCCTTCATGACATCGGTCTCTGCGATGTTCGCGACCTGCGCGCGGACGTTGGCCTCGACAACGTCAGTCAGGTCATCGTACTCCCGGGCGATCTCGGTCAGCGGCGCGAGCCAGCGTGAGAGGGGGTCCGCGGGCGGGGACGACGGGGTGTTATGGGCCGCGTCATGGCAGGCCTGTGCGCCGCCGCAGTTGGTGTGGCCGACTAGGATGACGTGCGAGACGCCAACATGGCCGACGGCGTAGGTGAGCACGGCCAATGCGCTATCGTCGTTCAAGTGGAATTGGCTAAGATGAACGGAGCACACGGTGAGGAAGGTGGACGGGGAGCGGAAGGAAGAAGCAAGACTGACTTCGCGATGTTCCGGTGGACGAAGATGTCTCCCGGCTTGGAGGCGGTCACGACCGATTCGGGCACTCGGGAGTCGGAGCACCCAATGTACAGCACCTGACGGGATCGAAATGAGGGTCAGAACGGGCGTTCGGCGCGGTGCGTGTTGATCGGGTGGACGATGGAACTATGCTCTGAACACGCGGACGCGGGGTTGGTGTTGTGGCCAGACTACGATAGCGGGGTCTGCTCTGCTCTGGGCAAGTGACGCAGCTAGCGCAGACACCATAGCCACGGGCGTGGTACCGTGGCTAGAACTCATGGTGACAGAGACGACGCCTCCCATACGACGATGTGAGCACCCGACACGATCAGCGTACGAGTTTAGAGCAGCGTCAAGGACGATCGGCTTAGGTCTCTTTCGGGCGGTGAAACGGGGCACACGGTGCCAGAGCGGTGGGTAGATCCTCGACCGTCCGCCCTCGGCCTCCGTGCAGGTATGGGAACCAGTACGCCGGACTGGACGGCCCAAGTCCGCGACCCTGCATCCCGCCCTTCTGTCGACGCTCAAATCCCGCCATACACTCCCCGACGGCACGCGAAGGCCATTGACACTGCGCCGCGACGCCTCATCGTCGCCAAGTAGCGCCCACCGCCGCAAGCGAGCAGGCGAATCAATGAGCGGACGTGCACTGACCTTGGGGGACTGTCCCTTGGCGGTCTCGGCGAAAAAGCCGGGCTCTGCCTTCTCGACGTCTTCAGCCCACTGGGCGTTGTTGGCGAGGAGGCGGGCGAGGATGTAGTCCTGGGGCATGATGGTTGCGAGCGAGGGTAGAGTGTGGGAGAGAGGGCGAGAGGAAATGTGCGAGAGCGGGGAGAGAGCTGAGAGCAGGGGGGACGAGGAGACCACAAGTCGTCAAGACGAGCGGTATATAAGGAGCAGAGAGCGGTAGATAAAGTGACGAGCGGAGAAGACCGAGACGGGCGGAGGCGGATGGTGGCAGGAGGCAAGCAAGAAAAGCTGGTCTCTGGCGTTGGCCTGCAGCCTGATGGAGCCACCGGGCGCGATAGATAAAGCTCTGCGGCGCGCGTCCCTCGTCCGAAAATCCGTGTGCGCCGTCATCAGGCACGGTCGCCGTCCTTTCCGAGTCCCCATGCGCTTGTGCAAATATGTGCCGACGAGATGCTCACACCCAGACGCACTCCGAGCAGCAAATGAGAGGCCGTCGTGAACGTAACCGATGGTGGCCGTCCACGGCGAGACGCGAGCTCGCCCTCGCGAGAGCCGATGGAATCCTGCGTCCGCTATTCCTGCCCAAATCCGACCGCACTGACCTTTGCTAAACGACGCGCGCGGGCATAATGGGCCCCGAATGATGTTATTTTCCTATTCTCCCGGCATGCGCAGGCGACAGAGGAAAGAACGACCACCAGAGAGTTTGAAATACCGCCCGATTTGGACTTGCTAGCGTGGTGGCCGTGGCAAGTCCCGAAGAGGCCCGAAAGAGCGGGAGGATCGTCGGGCAGGACGCCGTAAAGTGAGCCACCAAGTCAAGAGATGCCAGAGAACGTAGAGCGCACGACCGCGGGTGACAGAAGAGAGGCAGAGTTGGACAGCGGGGATGCGGGCTATATACGAGCAAAAAAGCAGCAGCCCAGTCCAGACGCACCGGCGGGGAGCCGCAAATACAAATTGATGGGCGCGATAGGTGCGCACCTCTGCCCCTGCCCTCCGCACAGTGCAGAGGCAGGCCTGCCCACTGCCTGCCCCCCGTCGCCCAGCTCGAGAAGAGCGATGGCGTCATGACAGCAGACATGGAAGCGGGCGGGCGCGAAGCGCCCGTCGCAGCGGAGCGGGAGAGCAAGCAGCAAGCACGCAGTGCTTGCCCTCTTCGCGACCGCGTTCACCGCTGCTCGAGTGCTCGTTTCTCCCAAGTGGACTCGTATCGCGCGCGTTCCGACGGCCAAGCCCCGACATCCGTGCTACCCTCCCCCGACGCCGCGCTCCGGCTACCTCCATGCACGGGTAGTCCTGCTGAACGTGTAGCTACTACAACGCTCTGTGCGTGTCTAGTATATGTGGCTCACACACTACTAACGTGATGATATTCTGTAGTTGCACGCTACTTACGTCCGCGCGAGTCAGAGTGGATGTCACAAGCTACCTGTCTCATCTCTAGCTCGACCCATGGATCTCCACGCATGCCCACTCGCTCGGGGCGCGGTCTGTGGCTGCATCTTTTCCCCGCTACGCTTGATGCACACCTCTGGCCACGGAACCACCAGCACGCTCTTGCGCACCCACCCTGCGCGAGCGGGACCCAGCAACCACCCTCGAGCGCCCTGGCGTGCACGACAATGCGCACCTCCTCCGCGGATACAGACAGCGCCGTCGACGCAACGCCTGTCCTGTCCAGGTGTGCACGCCACCTCGGGAGGATGGCCTCGTACAAGGGCAGTCTCAATCCACGACGTGGAATGCCGTCTCCCGTGTCGTCCGCCTCACCGCCTGTCCTCCATCCAAGCACGCGCCCTTCTCCTGGCACATCCATACGCCTCCAGGACGCTAAACTCCAAGTCCTCACGCCGGGGAGCATCGAGAGATGGTACGTCCCGAGCACGATCGCTTGCCGCACATGCATACCGCCCCCGGTGTGAGCTTTCGCCGCGAGCACGAAGACGTATGTGGACTCGGAGAGCGTGCAGATGACTGCAACAGATGTACCGGGAAGCCGGGTGTATCCTTGTGCTCACGACCGCGACGGCACCCTCTCAGGAACCGACCGCGACCCCGGAAACAGAATCTGTGCGTATTGTGTCGGTCGGTCGACTCGCGGAATCGTGCTGACACGCTCTGCGTCATAGGGCCTTGTTCGACGTGCGCGGCCGCCCACAACGCGATAGCTGGGCTGCACGCTGAACTGGTACACACGGAAGCGTGTGTGGAACAGGTCACGAACTGCCTTGAACATGAAGACGTGCGTAATTTTTTTCCATATTCCCGCCCTGCAGCATAGAACTAACCGTCGGTAGTACACCTGTCAACTTTGTCCGCCCATGCCGCGTCCACGCAGCTCTCGCCGACTAATGACGCTCGCCCACCCGCCGGGAAACGCCATTGGTTGCCGTTTGCGACTCGCCCGTTCCGCTCCCCTCTCTCTGCAGGCTAGCTGCTCGCCCATCCCCTGTCGCCGGTATGGACCCGGGTGAGCTGCAGCTGCGAGAATCCCCGCGCAATCCAGCGCGCTCGCACAATCGACGCGCCGCGCTCGAAGCTCCACAGGACCGTACGGTAAGTACTAGTAAGACCTTCTGAAGCGACGCTGAAGGCCGTTGACATGCTACCCTCCGAAACAGCCACCTTCGCCTCGCCCGCCTCGGTGACGGTGACGCTATGATTCGCCGACCGCTGCCGTGCGTGTCCGCGTGCGGCCGACGCCGGCGTGCCTGAATCGTACTGGAGGCGCGGGAGGCGACGTCAGTAACATGTCCCTCAGCGGCAGGCTGTCGTGTACGTACGAATCGCTTGTAAGTCCTCCCTTTCCGCGTAACGACGATCTAACCTTGATCAGTAGACCTGCCTTGGTATGCGCTCTCGCGCGCCGTCGGCGTACGAGGCCACGCATCGCAATGGCGTACTCGCACCAGCTCGTGCGTCGCCTCGCTGTTCGTCGCCCCGCCGGCCCAAGCCCTGCCCATTCCTCGCCGCCTCTGTACGTGCACGCGACTGCGCACGGAACATGCACGACCGCCCAAACGCCTTCGCGGTCGTGCACAACCTCGAGCACGGCGCGCCGTGCGCTTCGTGCGTACAGAACTCGGCGGTGCGGACGCGCATCAGCCTCTGCACCCCCCCAAAACGAGTGCTAACTAGCAATCTACAGCCCCGCAACACCGTCGCCCTCACCGCCCGCCCTCCGAAACCGCCGCTGCCGCCCAGGTACGCCCGTGCGTCGACATGCATCGACCACAGGTGCCCCTCGAGCTCGTTCGCCTGCGTGTCTAGATGCGCGCACGCCGCATACCACACCTGCCGTAGCAGCAAGACGGTGAGTGACGGACGCTCTCGGACACATCGTACGGGTGCTCACCGCGATCGCGACGGCCGCAGGATCGTATTCGCCATCTGCTCCTTCCGAGCTCGCTCATAAGGAGTCGTTCCTGGGTGCGTCCTGCCGCCGTGAGTGGTCTGGTTCGAATGTGAGCTCACCCACCAGACACGACGTTCGGCTCGTCGTCGTCCACGCCGAGGACAGCTTGAGACCACGGGTGAACAGCGACGCTTGCTTGCGATGGGAGAGGGGGGCGCCGACGGTGGTGGGCGAAGGAGGGCGATGCGTGGGGGATGCCCGGGGTACGTATTGTATATCTGCTCGTGTCGGACGCGAGA